CTACTACTACTACGACTACTACGACCACTACGACTACTACGACGACTACTACTACAACTACTACTACAACTACTATTACTACTACTACTACTACTACTACTACTACTACTATTACTACTACTACTACTACTACTACTACTACTGCTACTGCTACTGCTACTGCGACGACTACTACGACCACAACGACGACTACTACTACCACTACTACTACTACTACTACTACTACTATTACTACTACTACTACTACTACTACTACTGCTACTACTACTACTATTCCAACTATTACTACTACTACTACTACTACTACTGCTGCTGCTACCACTACTACCACTACTAAGTCACTACTAAGTCACTACTAAGTCACTCCTAAGTCACTACTACTACTACTACTACTACTACTACTACTGCTACTACTACTGCTACTGCTACTGCTACTGCTACTAACTACTACTACGACTCTCGCTTTTGCTAAGAATGCTGACTCATGCTTACCACTGCCAGTACCAGCACCAGTAAGCAGACGTATGTGGACTTTACTGCTCGGGGTCGGTGGAACGCTCAATCGTTGAGACAGCTCAGCCACCTGACCTTTGCAACTCCTCCAACGAGAGGCCCGACAAGCCTCATCCAATGGGTGAGACCTGAAACCTCGGCTTCAAAAGTTTCTACGATGTATATTAGGTTATTGTCGGACAGGTGCATGAGATTCGGCGCTAGCTCGGCGCGACGGGCCTCCGCAAGCCAACGGGCAGCCCGCTGGGGGTCGCCGGCCTCCGCATGCTGAAGCTTGCAGGTTCAAGACTTGGGCAAGGCTTATAAAGTTTTAGGCTCAGGGCTCAAGGTCTCAACAGGTTGTTCATGCTTCATGCCTGGCGAAGCTGTCTCCAAAAGAGACCAACAAAAACCTGTGGCTCATGTTGGATGTCTTGGGGTCTACAGTGCGGAGTCTCAGCATACGGGGTTAGGGTTTCGTTGTTGAAACTTTAGGGTTTAGATGTAACAGCAGGACTTGTGGCCAGCGCTCAACTCTAGATTCTAGATGGCCCGACAGCAGGCAGCAGACTCAAGCTGGGCTAGGCTTTCAATGCTGAGCTTTTCAGGCGCAGGGTTCAAGGTCAGCACGCAGCATCTTCCCGAAAATGCAAACACTATCATTCTATCATGTCATGTTTGACACTCGCTAGCACCTTGGCAGAGGCGTCCATCAGCAGCCCATACCTCATGGATTTTTTGCAAACACATCTTCCAAAACCCACAGAACACCCGATGTAGACTCCCAACTGATGGTGGTAGTAGCTGTCGTCGTCGTCGTAGTAGTAGTAGCAGCAGGAGTAGTATTGGTAGAGGTAGTAGTTGTTGTGGTAGCTGTACTGGAAGTGGTAGTGGTGGTCCTGGTAGTAGTGGTAGTAGTGGTAGTAGTGCTAGTGCTAGTGGTGGCAGTAGTGGCAGCAGTGGTAGCAGTGGAAGTGCTAGTGGTGGCAGTAGTGGCAGCAGTGGTAGCAGTGGAGTAGTAGGACTAGGTGGTAGTAGCAGTGGCAGTAGCAGCAGCAGTAGCCCTAGTAGTAGTAGTAGTAGTAGTAGTAGTAGTAGTAGTAGGAGTAGGAGTAGTGAGTAGTAGTAGTAGTAGTAGTAGTAGTAGTAGTAGTAGTAATAGTAGTAGTAGTAGTAGTAGTAGTAGTAGTAATAGTAGTAGTAGTAGTAGTAGTAGTAGTAGTAGTATGAGTAGTAGCAGTAGCAGTAGTAGTCGGTATCAATAATAGAAACACGTTTAGACTTAGCCTTACTGGAAGATCTGGCAACACAAACGCAACATAGATGAAGTGCCCAGCTGCCAGGTGCGGTTGGAGCCATATCCAAGCGTGTGGGTCGAGTGCCTGGGCGCACAAGTGTGGGAGTTTCAGGTTCAAGTTAAGCTGCGTGGTTCGCACCTCTATATATATATATATATATGTATAATATTTAATTCATCGCCGAAGCTTTTGGCAAGAACTCTGCGCAAAGCTGCTGCTTCGTGCAAGTGGCAAGGCACTCCGGAAGGAATGCATATCTATGGCGCAGCACTGCTAGGCCCCCCCCTCCCCCCCCTACCCCATGGTATCCCCCCTTCCCCCCCTGTGGTTCCCTGTGGTGTGGGTTTCCCCCCTTTCCCTCCCGCGACGATGGCGATCATGATGCGCTCCTCCGGTCCCTAGGTTTTTGAATGAAAGTCATTCCTGCACATGCTCGGGCTGACCTTTAACGCGCCCAACCGAGACTGAGCATAGAATGACAAGTGAAAATAGACGAACAGGATTGCCAACCCTCTTGTCGCTGGCTTACGCGGGAGAAAAAGCCAATGGATGAGTCCCACCGAAAAGCTCTCGGATTCGCATTGGTGACTTGATGCTCACAGCACTTCACAAGGTCTATAGGGTTCAAAGCAAACACATCCCAAAATATTCTTAGCTCCCACACCCGTGAACCTTAATTATTCTCAAATCCTGATCCTCAAAGGCCACACTTGTGAACCCCGCACCCCCAAGGTCTCAGTGACCCATCAACCCAAGTTGTAGCTCTGAGGCACTCGAACCACTTCTCCGCAGAGTCTGGGTCGCCTGCCTGTAAATCGCAAGGAGTTTCTCAGAACGAAAGAAGCCGACAACCGGTTGAAGTGTAGCCATCGGGGCTGAAAGTCCTACAGTCGGAGTTTTACGGGACTGGGCACCCTGAAAACAGTTTACGCATGGATGCTCTGCTTGCGTCTCGTTTGGGGAGGCGGAAGCGCCTGGGACGGTGGCAGGAAGTCGAGTCGCAACCCCAAACATCCACTGTAGCGGAGGCACGGTTTCGAAGTTATACAAGTTACATATTCTGTACCAGCATGTGTGCTATGCTGCACACTACATAATGTCAGGATTAGAGTGGAGGCTTTGCAGTTTTGTAGTGCTACTCTGCTATGACGTTTGGACAACTGTTGGTGTCATTCCTTGATGATTACCCCTACAATCTGTACTCACATGCAGATTTCATGATCTCAATGCACCTGCACCGTCTCATCCTCTGTCATCCCCTGTCTTGCTCATCAAATGTCATTATTTGTTTTTCTTTCTGATACTGCGTCCTCGACCCTAAACCCTAACCCCTAAATCCTAAGCCCCCCCCCTCCATGTGCCTTCGCTGCCGCCTCCATGAGCTTGCCGTAGGTTTTGCCGTTGGGCACCACGCTGGCAGACTCCATGTCCTCCGTAGTAAAGTTTCATGTGCTGTAGTGCCGTATAGTATAATATGGTATGGTTTAATCCAGTATAGCATGTATAGTAATTATAAAACTTTTGTATAAAATCCAGCAAAAAGGGTCTTGAGGGTTTTTGAGGTCAAAGGGCCCTTTAGGGCACGGGGTCGGATGGCTTAGGATACTGAAACCGGGGCTGGCGAATCGGAGGTCTCTGTGGAGGTCTCTGTGTGTCTCTCTCAAAATGATCCGTACTTATGGCTCTAACTCTTTGACCTTGAAGTCTCTGGCAGCCTTCAGCTCATACTTCAAATTCCTTGGATGGAACGTCTTGCTGAGGGGGCGGATATGTTTCCTTTAAGTTGAAGCAGACCTTGCAAGTTCAACGTGTGGGTCAAAGGGCACTTTATCCATGGAGACGAGTGTTGTTGAAATATTCATGTCGACAATCCAAAGTTAGCATTTTAAAGAATAGCCGAAAAGGTCTCGAAGACCCTCTGCCCGAAGTCTTTTAGGACGACTGCCGAAAGAGCAGACGAGATTTGCAAACGCCTTTTTTGGTCTCGTACGCTCAAGCATTACGAACTTAGGATTCAGGTGGTTGGGTCCCGGGTCCAGATTTGATCTTGGAATTCGAACCACCTTGTTCGCGTGCAGACGGAGTATATGAGAAATCCAGCTTGGTTGAGGCCGTGTGCGCCCAGTTCCTGTGTCGACCTTGGGATTTAGAGTTCCACGGCTTGACAATTGGATCAAGGCACTGGGATCATTGGCCGCCCTGCAGCATACTGCTAAACATTTCGAACCATGTAAGCCGTGCTTCATCGTCCTTCGACAAGCTAACCTGCACTTCGACAACACAAACTCTAGATGATATGGCTCGCAACAGATATAGACAGTCTTCATGCCTATCAACCTCCGAAGCGCGAAGCCTTGACTCCAAGGCTTTTCAGTGGTTCGGGTTTTGAGTTACAACTATTGTCATGTACGTATAGGAACTATAACTGCATGAGCATGATAACTCATGCAACTCCATGCACGCATTCCTTTGCCAGTCTTTTGGCTAGAGATGAGGCTTCAAGCAGAACTCTTACAGCAGCGGCGCTGAATTCCTCAACCCTAGAAGCCCCCACAAAACCATGTCCTTGAGCCACTGTTCGGCACCAGGCAGGTCGCCTGCATTCGCGTAGGCCTGCCAGCGTAGATCTTGCACCGCAGACTGTGGAATTAGGTTTTAGGGATGCTTAGGGTGATTTGGGGCTTGGGAAGTAGCATGTCGTTGGTGTTGTTGATGTCGCCATCGTAGTGGCGCCACGCCGTATCCCCCCAGCCAAAGCATAGAATCCGAACCCGGGACTCGACTCGTTAAAACCGCTACCTAGGCCCCAAGGACCTCATCACAAAGCAGACAAGGAAGATCTTGGCAAAGCCGGCCCAATACCACCACGCATCCTCCTCAATAATTTTTGCTTCAAGTACCCTGAAACTCCGCGGCCTTCATCACAGTGTTCCACAGCACCCGCGGCGCAGGCATCGGAGCTTGCGCATGGAACTGTGCTCTGGCGGCTGCGGCGTCTCCAGCAATAGCCTGGCTCTGTTTCCTAGACTGCAGAAATCGAAAGACTGAGAGGAACTGGAAACTGTTGAAAAAGGATTTCGGCTCCTTCGAAATCTAAGTCTGCGAGGCAAGAGAGTGTGCGGGCATTCAGCATCTGATAACCTACCACCTGGAAGCACCTCCAAACCCCAAAGAGTTAAAGTCTTATTTCAAATCTGGTATTAACTGGTATTAGCACAACGTATTTCTGGTAAGCTCTCCAAATGACTTCCAAGCAAGCATAGGCTGTGGCAACAAGGTCGCAGCTCACTCCACAGGCATCAAGGCTGTACATGCAAGCACCAGGGCAACTAGAGGGTATAGGTAGGCTCAACAAACGGGACCAACTTAATTTATGATCTCAATTTCCATTGTGCCGGTAATGCGAGAAAAACCACGCAGGATATTGCGGAGCTCAGCGCCACACGTGGCCATTGATCTCGTCCAACAGAGTCTCCTGGGCAGTGGGTCCTTGCAACGAAACACACCATGCACAAGCATGTCACTGCACATTCTGTCAACAACGTCCACAAAGCCCTAAATCCGCCACCAACCCTCAGCCCCAGTATTGGCGAGTCGACAAATCAGAACACACTTCCTGTCGCAGTTTCTGAAATGCCCCCGAAACCGTACACTAACCATTGGCCCCCCCAGAAAGGAGATTGAACATGTGCAGGGCACTGACATGAATCTGACAAGCAACATCCTTATCAAATATCAAGGCCCTCGAAACAGACCCTCAGGCCCTCAGTTTAAGACCCTGAGAGATCCCTCAACGCTGATTCCGACTCAACCTAGCCTTAAATGCACACAACCCCTAACCGAAGCAAGGCTTCAATGCTAGTATCCTCATGACGACTTTCCACCAACACTCCCAACCAGCCTTATGCAAAGGAACACACCCCAGCTCATCCAGGCCCACGGAAAAGAAGCGTGCAGCAGGGCTTCCTGCAAGGCATCTGCATCCTCGGCGAGCAGACCTAGGTCGGATAGGCCATGAGCGTACGGCGAAGATCAGGCTGAAGAGTTACGTGGTTCAGGATCTATAGGGTTCCATGTTCGAGTGCCTTTGAGGGCCTTTGGGGAGTGCCCGCCTTTCCGCAGCCTACCCCTCGGCATGTTTGTCAGGAATTGATCCTGATTTAATACGAATGCTCTCGCTACTTTTGATGGTGTATAAGTGACGTATCAAGGTATAGAACTGAGGCAAATAAGACTACACCTAGTTTCGGGGTTTGTAAATAAAACTCAGACACACTAAATACTCAAGCAAAATGTAAACCTGCAGCCCCAAAGCAATAACTCGAAATTTCATCGCATCAGCGGGAACAGAGTCGGCAAATCCCAGCACTCGCCTCGAAAGCCTGAGCCCTAAGCCCGAAATCCTCAATATCCCAGAGCTCCAGAATCTCACAAAAAATAGCAAAGCAATGAGACCGAGCAAAGCAAAGCTCAAACTCGACAGAAGCCAAGCACACGCACACACACACACACACAAAGCTCGACTGGAAACTCACAACTCTGAATCCCAAACCCTTCGACCCTGAAGTGTGAACCCCTCGAAGTCTCGTAAAACCCAAACCGCCAACCAGAAAGCTGACCGAGTCCTTCACCATGGCCCGAAACGCAGGCGACACCCGGCAGGTCGCATAAAGCTGACGCCCAGAGCTTGTAGGGTTCGGGGTGTAGGGTTTAGGATCTAGGGTCTGCAGATTTTGGACATTTGAGCAGTCGCGGACTCTAGAAGAGGATGGGCATCGGGGGGTGAATCGTCTCTCAAGCCAAACTGCTGCAGTCTTTTGTGCGTGCAAGGCATGTGGCATGTTGACAGGATTCGGTCAGTCATGTGGTCTGCTAGTACTGCACTAGGCTTGCGTAAAGAGAACCAAAGGCAAGGATAAGCAAGCAACAGAACAGAGCAAACAGTAAACCAGAGGAGGCTAAACGTCACTCCTCCACAACTATAACTATATACAATATATATATATATATATATATATTTATTTATTTATTTATTATAATTATTTATACATCTCCTGGCTAGACGACAAGGCTTGCTGAATCCTCACAACTCTGCATTGACATGTGTCTTACGTGGAAACGAAAGCGGAAATAGCCCAAACCGATTGCCGCAGATTTAAACGAAAGTTCCTTAATCAACAAGTTGTCGACGTGGGGGGTTCATGGCCGTAGTTGCATCCTTTCATGTTCTGAGTCGCACCTCCCCGAGCAAGGTCGCTCCTTTCGGTTCATCGGGTTATGCATTTAACTTCCTGCGAGGTCCAGTCTTGATTGCAAACAAACCTGAGGACATAACTCTGGCCCCTTGAGTGCTGAATCCTCAACACCCCTAAACCAACCTAGGCTCTCTTCAGAAACCGCAAGAAACTCCCAGACTCCCAATCCCAGAAGTCCTGAATCCTGTTCTTGCGCGCTTGACCCTCAGGGTCTGGGGCTTCACATAGGCCCGGTGCATCCACCCGCGCTCGGAGCCAAAAAAGGTCGTTCCAAAACGGGGGAGCTGCTTCTTGTGTCCCCATAGCTCGGCTTTTCGGGTTGAGGCTGATACAAATTGTTGGGGTCTGCTATGCTGTTCTGGGAGGATGCTACTGCTGAAGAAAGCCCATAGGCTATGGGTTGCCATGGGACTCTCATCACTCATGTTTGGTAGAGTAACTCTTCTTGCTGTCGAGCGAATCGAACGAAGTCAGCCATCAGTGGAAGGCCTTAACCTACCGTGAGCACTGCATTGAAAGGCCAGCTTTGTGCTTGCTCGGAAGGCTCCGAATAGAAAGACCTTGATGTCGGAGCCCGGTATGCAAAGAGATGAATTCGCATGCAGACATCCTAACTAATCGCATGCAGACCACGTAATCGCGATCTTTCGTGAGATGTGGTCACACTTTGGCGATCATTACTGGTGGAAAGGTCGTGGCCTTCACCGAGTCTGAACAGAAGCAGCGGTGCTTATCCACCACTGCGCTTGAAGCAGTATGCGCTGTGCATGGCCTTCCTATGAGCGGGACTTCGACGCGTTGGCAATGCTCTGCAGCCCCCATCTTGTTCTGGTTGGAGGATCAAGGCAGCCAGGTTTCGGGAAGCCACGTGGGTCTGCCTGGAAACGTCGATGACCAGGATCCGGCGCCGAGGTGTCCTCTCAAGGAAGGCGTCGCGCAACAGTTCACGTGCAGCAAGAGCCTTCGACTAAGAGCTTGAGCCTAGCAATCCTTGTTCCTGCAGTCGTGAAGATTACAGCCATACTGCACTTGGGCTATCCTGGACAAAAAACTAAAAACCCTGAATGGTTTCGCCTGACGCCCAGCCCTCAGCGGATGCCCGACGCGATTCGGCGACAGCGTGCGCCAGCGGGAGTCTGGGCGGTTCGTGACCTCGAGTCGACGGCCAGAAGTTCTGGAGAATGGTGCAAAGAAACACCCCTTTTGGCGGTTGGGCTCAAGCTTTCAAGCAAGCAGGCAATGGGGGACCTCATGTTGATCACACCCTGTGTTGAATGCAATGCCGGAGCTCTTTTGCCCTGACGAATCGCTCAATGCGCGCAGAGACAATACAGGTCCCATCGAGAACACATGAGATCTCAGCAGTTGCCTCGATGAGAACGCCACAAGAGGGGAGCGGGGTAGATCTGAACAAACTGTTTTCTTCTTGATTCTTGACCGCCGTGTTATGAGAAGGAGGTGATTCAACAAAAAGCCCCTTGCCGTCTGATTGGATGCGAACGGCATGAACAACATGCCGCAGCTCATTGGCACCAACTCATCGCTGGCTGGAGCTGGAGATTGTATGAGGAGAACCTAGCGGAAAATTAACCTAGGAATTCAATGCAACTCATTTGCGGGGCTGGTATTACCATGATGTGTTGACATTTCCTGAATTTGCTGACCGACGCAGACATGAGACGAGGGCATTGGTTTAACAAACTTTTAAGGGGATGCTTGGACCTGGAACCACTGCAAGTGGCAAAAACTGCCTCTACTCGGTTGCCTCATCGATCCTGCACTCAAAACCCTCGACCCTGAAGCCCACCCTAAACCCTAAACCCGATAACTCTCAATCTCTCTCACCCTGAACAGCTCTGAAGCCGCAGCCGCAAACCCTTGAAGCCTCGAGCTGGAACTCTCCTTCTTTGGTGTGCTGGGGGTGTTAGTGTTTGCCTTTAAAAACGAGCCCTTTCAAGTCCCAGAGGAAACAAAGTTTCAAAGCACCTCGGAGAAGGAAAAACCCCCCAAAACAAGAACCCCTGAGATCCCATAAACCTCAAAGCCCTGAAGCCTGAGCCCCTCTCAACCCCTAGCCCCTTTCAGCAACTGAAACATAGACTACGAAACCACTCGTCCGCAGACCTGGCCTCAGGGACAGGGATCGAAGCCCAGGTTTCTCCTCGGGTAAGGCAGCATTCTTGATACTGATGGCTCATCCTCCTGTTAACACTGGGGTTTGGGGTTTATGGATTATAGATCTTTGAAAACTCAATTGGGCTTAGGGTGTAGGGATTGATGACTAAGTCGGTCTTGAAGCGGGACGGCAGGGATTAAGTCTTAGATAAAACTTGCCTTTGACTTTTGCACACATACTTCATCCTGAAACAGTGCCCCCTATTTTGGGGTCCTTACTAGGGGCAGCACAACCTTGGAGTGGGACCGGCGCCCCATAAAAAAGAACCCAAATTCAGAAAACAACTTGAAACTACCATACTCCTAAACCTCCAAAGCCTTCACGCTGAACCTGAGGCTTAACTTAGCACGGCCAGCACTAGCAATGCTCCAAGATTACCTTTGCCGAGTCTCTTCCTGAGGATTCTTGCCTAAGTCTGCAGACGAAGCCCTCCGCGGAGCAATGCCTCGGAGTTCAAGGTTTGGGGATTACACACTACGAGTCTTTATCGAGGTCCAGGGCTACTAGAAGTGGGCACCCTGTGGTGAGCTAGGTATCTTTATCTCGTGTGCTCGAGGAGCCATTTAAGCCGTCGTCGGAAGGCTTTCCACGGCTTTAATATAATAATATGTGAAATACCAGTGCTTGGTGGAGCTTAGTGTGGGGGCCTCTTTAAGCCGGTGCGAGTCTTCAATGGTTTTTTTGCTTGTTCAAGCCGGTGGCAAACATATGGGGGGTCTCCTTAATGCGCTGTTTTTTGGCCGGCTGATGTATTTTTGTTAGCTTCCTTTCTGCTAGTGGTCCATCTCGCCTCTACCCCCCAACAACCAAGACTAACAGACACGTCATTTTGAAGACTTTTCGCTCCAACCTACACCCCTCTCCACAATCGACCAAGTCTGAGGCCTATTGAAGTACAATAGTAGTACAGTAGTACTACAATAGTCGTACATATCATACACTAGTAGTACAGTAGTAGAATAGTAGTACAGCAGTAATACAGGAGGGTTAAGATTTTAGTGTCTGGGGCGAAGGCGGCTTCAGGGTTTAGGGTCAAGGTTTGATCTTGGAGTGATCGGGACTTGGCTTCGAGCCTTTGGTGATCGCCAAACCCCAACCGCTCTAGGCACCCCTAAACCGTTGCGCTGTACTTCTATTGTACTACAGCACCAAGCCTCAGACTTGGTCGATTGCGGAGAGCAGCGTAGGTTGGAGGAAAAAGTTCGCAAAATGAACGGTATCTAGTCTTGGCAGTTGTCTTGGAGTGATCGGGGCTTGCCTTCTATTTAGACAGAAGTCCTGCGTAACATAAGTCCGTAGAACCTGTTCATCTTCGAGTCAGAACAGCCCTGATCTTCCGAGCCCACGGCCGCCACGACTCGAACGCCGACGGCTCTCCGCCTCTGTGCGGCTCTGCTGCCGCCCAGCACTTGAGGCGACGCTGCTCGCCGGCTGTGAGGCAGGCCTCATCTCCAACTTCCGTCGTCCTACTCGTAGTAGTAGTAGTAGTAGT